TCCAGGTGTGCTGAGAGCAGTTGGCTTTATTTAAATGCCTGCATTAAGTGATGCAGTAAACGAGTAAAATTCCAATATTATCACACCTTCAAGTGGCAGCAGTTCAGCTGCTGTGTAAAAACAAAGCTTAGGCTTGGGGAAAGGTGCTGTCTTACTGTCTTGAATATCATATCATGCATTGTTTTGAGGATTCCCTACCCTCTAGGAGATGTCACACTTGATTCACTGCCTATTCACTGTAGCTGAGCAGAAAGAACAGTGAAATGCCTCTTTGCACACGTCTGACTCTTACCTCCACCCATAAATTCATTTCAAACGGCTTAAGAATGGTTTCTCCCTGCAGGTGGAGGAGCTGAAGAAGCAAAGCACTGCTAACAGTTCCCTGCTGCCTGGCATCTCCTCTGTCACTATGGAAGCTTCCATGATCATGAGCAACATCCAGCGCATCATCCAGGTGAGCATGGCCAGCCTGGTTTCACTTTCATTAGGAGCTGGGGCTCCCAGTGTTACCCTCAATGAGGGCAAATGTCCAGTCACCCATGTCTTCTGGTTTTGTGTGGTCAGAACGAGGATGAGACTTACAATGATTTCCATCCCTCTTTCCCCCTCCTAAAATCTCTTCTCAGCATTTTGTGGTTTGGGTATTTTTTGACTCAGAGTTGTGGGTATTTAATGGGCTTTGACAAAAGGTTCATGTGGGAGGAGTTCAGCTTCTCAAAGCATTATGGATTTAACCTTACCCAGTCTCCAGCAGAACAGTTTCACAGCTGAAGTACCCCATTGTAGAAACCACCTGCTTCTGCTATTCACCATTTAATTTTATGCTTTGAAATCTTTCTAAGCAGCAACCTTAAAAACTTGGGGTTTGTGGGTAAAAAAGTCAACTAGACACAATATTTTCTAGAGTGTGATTTGGCAGCTGCTGTCCTGTGCCAGGATTCTGCTAAATGTGGCAGGTGCCTTCCTGAGCTGCTCCCACAGAAGGGATGAGCATCACCACTGTCCTGCCCCTAACAAACCCAAAGGTTTAGGAACTGCTGCAAGGAAGTCTGAGTAAGCTGAATATTCATGCTGAGCTGTGCTTTAGGAGAATGAGAGACTGAAGCAGGAGATATTTGAGAAGAGCAGTCGGATTGAGGAGCAGAATGAGAAGATCAGTGAGTTGATTGAACGCAACCAGAGGTAAGGGGTGGGAGCCTCATTGCATTTCCAGACTCTCCAGCTTACACTTGGGCATAACTGAGGGGTGTTTGTTAGGAGACAGCCATATTCTGATATTTTGATTTTTTTTTTTCCAAGGTACTTAAAGTGTAGGATTCCTCCCACCCTTTCTCTGAAGGGCTTATCCCCAAAACTCTGATTTACAGTAAGCATGAATGTGTAAAAGGGGAACAAAATCCCTCATGCTGTCTTTGAGCACATTTGTCCTGCTTCTGGGAGTTTCTTTATTTGTGCTGGCTTTTTAGTGAGGTGAAGAAATTGTCGGGGACGTGGTGCCCTTTGTGAAGTTCAGCTGCTACCAAGTTACCAAAACCCTTGGAGCATGAGGCGTTTTCAGAGAGGTGAAGCACTGATCCCAGCTGATAAAATCTCTGCTGTGCCAGGCACAGCCCTTCCACCCCTCTGAGATCAGCACAGCACATGCTGTGAAATTGTCTGGGACTTGGCATGAGTTCAACAGAGAGCTCCTGTGCTTTGGAATATCACCTTTTCTGTCTGAGCCCCTGCCTCCCAGCCCTGTGTTTCCAGGAATGCCCACGGAGTCTCCCTGTTCACAGGTATGTGGAGCAGAGTAACCTGCTGATGGAGCAGAGGAACCACTCCCTGCAGACAACAAATGAGAACACACAGGCAAGAGTGTTGCATGCAGAGCAGGAGAAGGTAACAGTGGCAAGAACAAAGCCAGGGTTGTTGCATTAAAACGAGCTGAAGCCTTGTTAGTCAAGGCAGTTTTCTTAGAAGGCAACTGCAGTTCTGAACTTTGTTTTGAGGAAAAAAAATGGATGTTTTGATGGCTTTCATGTCCAAAGCATCACAGAGAATATAACCATTCCATGCTGTCGTAACTTTAATATTGTTATCTTGTAGAAAGTGTCTGATTTATTAACTGTGTAGGCATGTGACCAGTGTATTGAGGAATTGTGTATCATAGGGCTTTTGAGTTGGAAATACTTCAGTTATTTAGTTGTACTGATAGTTCCAGAAGAGTTTTTTTCCTTTTCTATAACTGACATAGAGTGAATATAGATACAAGGAAAAATATTTCCTGCTGGAGTTTCTTCATTGCACTTTTGTGCTTTTTTAATGCTAATCAGAAGCTGTTTGTTTTTCCCAGTAACACGTTGTGCTTTTATGACAGGAACTGTTGGGAAATAGCTTTTAAACCAGTGAAATGCATTTATGCATGGCTGTATATCCTGAACCATTCCTGTAGGCCAGCCTAGCCCAGGAGTGCTGCTCTGGCTCTGCCACTGCATGGTGCCTGCTCTGCTTTCTCAAGCACTGGCTTCTTAAACTACACCAAGTCCAGTCTTGCTCTGTGCTGCCCTGCTGAGCTGTCTCTCTCCAGTTCAAACGTGACAAATGCTTCCTCTGTGTGAGACCCACATCTTGGTGCACCTAAAGCTGACCAGAACTGCAACTTTCCAAAGTGTGGTAAAGAGCAGAGCAGGGAAGGGCTGGTGGTGCTGAGAGCAGGCAGGGAATGGGGTCGCTTTTCCACCCCTAACCCAGGCTGCACACCCACAATATGTAGGAATGTGAGAGATTCTAAGCAGGAATAAGTTGGACTGAAATAATAAATTAAATTCCTTTCTCAGCGAGGACAGCATCCTGATGGTACAGTAAAACTTGGAGAGGAAGCATCTTTTAGAAGTATAAGATCCTCAGGAGTCTTTTGGGCCTCATCTTCAGCAGGACCCCACTGACTAAGAGATGTCACAGCCCAGGGATGATGTTACATGAACAGGCTTCAGGCCAGACCAGGAAAGCTCTGCCTTGCACTGGGAGACTTCCCCTGCTTCTGTGGGAGTATTGATGTAAATATGAAGGCTGGTATTTCTTCCTCTTCCCTTTATCTAACCCAGCTTGCCCTGGGACTGCAGTCACTGAATCCCCAGGGAAGAGGATTGATTGGAAGCTGTTTTATCCATTGTTTACAAACAGATTTGCTCACCATTTATTTGGTTGTACCCAGGATCGCTGAGGTGTTGGTTACTCACTGCTTTTGGGCTGTGGATCTTTGGCCCTGGCATAGCAAGTCACAGTTTTAGGTGAAGGCTTAGTAATTCCCACCTCCCCAGTGCAGTCACAGCCAGGACTGCTCCCAGCTCTGGTGTGTGACATACCCTAAGGATACCTTTAGTATCTTTCCTTTTACATCAGGCTTCACTCCCTTTTTCTGTCTGAGCTTTTACAGTCCTTGGAGTAATTTAAAGGCTTCTCTGGCATGCCTTAGGCTCCTGTTATGAAGCATTTTGCTTTTCTGCTGATGAATGCCTCTGCCTTTTAAGTTGTGTTCTTAACCCTTCCTGTTTCCTGTCACTGCTTTCTCTTCCCAGCACATGCTGCCAGTGGATCGGGGCTGGGACCAGGTGAGGCAGTGTCTGCTGACTGTGTAGGTGGTAGATGGTTGTGCCCTAGGAAGTGCCAGCCCAGCTTCCTCTTGAACTGGGAACAGATTGGCATGAAAAGAATTGTCTCAGAGCTTGAATGAGCACAGATCCCTCACTGGAAAAGGGCTTTAGAACTGGCACTGTCTCCCCACTGGCCCTCCCTCTTTCTTGGGGAGCCCTTTCCATGAATTCTCTCACATTGCTGCTTGTTCCACTCCCCATGGGAGAAAAGGATCACTGGCAGAGCAGGTACAGGTCACCCAGGATTGCCTGAAAGCTGCAGGCTGGAGCTGAGCTGGGGACATGAAGCATCCTTTGTAGAAACTTCTGTTTAGTAACACTTCCTGCCATAGGATCTCCTATTTTTCTTTTCTTTATTTGCCACTAAAGACAGAGGCCAGGGTTAAAATAACCTTTAGTTGTCTTTAGCTGTGCCATGGGATTTTGTTTTAGCATGCCAGGAGTCAGTGTAGCAGTGGAACATTTATGCAAGCACAGGAGGAAAGCAGATCTGGTTCTGGCCACTCTCTGAAATGCTGCTTCCTCTTTAAAATGAGTGGTGTGGTATTCCAGCCCTCCAGGTCAGCACATCCTCATCATCACCACAGCTGGAACAATTTTGCTCATATCTCTTCTGTGCCAGAGGGAGTTGGTCCTCGTGTCGAGGGAATTTTCTTAGGGGGATAAAGCAGAGAGAAAATCCAGTTCTCCTGACCTTATGTTTTTTAAGAATGTGAAAAATCTGTTGGGAATCTTGAAATAGGCAGAGGTGTGGAAGCTGTTGAGGGATTCCCTGTGCAAATTCCGTCTTGCAGAGCATCCTCTGAAGTTTGTGTCACTCAACAAGATTGGGAATGGGACTTTGTGTCTGTCTTGATGCCTTGAGCCCCTGCTAACGTTGTTTATGAGTTGTCTAACAAGCTGTGCTAGTGCCTGGTTTAGGGTGAATCACTGATTGTCAGCAATCCTAAATTTAAACAGGTCCCCAAATGACTGAGAGCTGTGCTGGGAAATGCCAGCCTTGCCCAGGGGCAGCCGAGGTGACCTCGTGCTGTGTGCTCTGGGGACAAGGTGCTCTCCTGGCTGGGACCAGCCTGTGTTTAACTGGCTCTTCAGTGATTTGTAAGCTTATGGAAGACAATTAGATGTTGGAGCCCAGGCTTTTTACTCAAATAGATGTTTTCATAGCCTTAAAACTGAGCAGAGCCACCAAGCACTGGTACCAGGCTTAAACATACTTAACCTTTTCAGGAAAACTCACTGGGTTGAACTGATGATGAAGTTGTTGGTGGCCTCGTGCAGCTTTCTAGTCAGTCTGGACAAAACTGGCGTGGCAAAAAAGTCACTGTTGCCTCCTCAATCTGGAGATGTCTTCCCTGATAAGGCATCCAACCCTTTTCCAGCTCTTCCTGAGCGAACACTTCTGCTGCTTCCTCACACATCCCTTTTTGTCCCCCCTCCCTTTTTCCTGCTCCGTTTGTGCTCCAGGCCAAAGTTGCAGAGGAGCTGGCAGCTGCCACTGCCCAGGTTTCCCAGCTGCAGCTGGAGCTCACTGCCCACCAGAAGAAGGAGATGGACCTGAGGAAGCAGCTCTCCTGTGCTGTGCAGGATGCAGAGAGACAGGAGGCACAGCTCAACAAGCTGCAGGCACAGGTGGCAGGTGAGAGCTCTTTCATGCCTCTTTTCTTTGATAAGTTGTAGTTTTTTTCCTGTCTTCTGTGGTATCTTCCTGCTTTCCTTAGGACCTGTCACAGGGGATGGAAGAAGGATATGGGTGCACTGAAATATCTGAGGGATGTGCATCCTTGTCACCACTGAAGGCAAAGTGGGATGACTCAAGAAACAGTCATCCTGTGACAGAGATGCCTTTTGTAGAACAATCTCTTGGCTTTTCTGTCCACCCTCGTGTAGAGCAGCCAGAGATGTTCCAGTGAGAGTTGAGATAAACCTGAGGCGTTTGTTCATTCCTTCTGTGCTGTGGCCCCACCCTGAATCCTGGGGTCACTTCTGGGCCCCACATGATGAGAAGGACATTGAGGGGCTGGAGCCCCAGGAGAGGCTGAGGGAGCTGGGAAGGGGCTGGAGAATTCCTGAGGGAGCTGGGAAGGGGCTCAGCCTGGAGCAAAGGGGGATCAGGGGGGACCCTGTGGCTCTGCACAGCTCCTGACAGGAGGGGACAGCCGGGGGGTCGGGCTCTGCTCCAGGAACAGGGACAGGAGAGGGAATGACCTCAGGCTGGGCCAGGGGGAATTTAGGTTGGGTATTAGGAAAAATGTCTTCACAGCAATGGTTGCAAAGCACTGGAACAGGCTGCTCTTGATAAATTCCAGTCCCCACTGCAGGCACAAGCAGAGTAGTTGACTGCACTGTGCAGGAGACTCTGTTCCTCCCCATCAGCCCCCAAAATGTGCTCCCCTGCAATGGCAGTTGCACCCAAACTCACAGGGAAGTGTGGGGGTTTGTTTGCAGAGCTCCAAGAAGCTTCTCAGGACACTCAGAGCAGGTTCAAGGCTGAGAAGCAGAGCCGCAAACAGCTGGATATGAAGATTGCAGCACTGGAGGAAGAGCTGACAGACCTGAGAGTGGAAAAGGAGACTCTGGAAAGGGTATGTCCAGTGCCAGCACACACACTTTCAGTTGCTTACTGAAGGTTAACCCAAAAAGCAAAGGTTCTTGCTTTTAAATATGTAAATTAAGTAAATCTTGACTCATCTGCAGGCTGGTGGATCCTTTGTGCATATGTTAATTTTTTCAAATTGTTTATTTATTATTCATTATTGTTTGTTTAATTATTTTTTATCATTTTTTCTTTTTATTTATTATTTATTTATTTAATGCCATACCCAGTAATGTGCCAACCTTTCCTTACCTCTGAGATAACCTCAGCTTGATTTCAAGTGATGCAGTTCCTTGCCCAAAGACCCTCTTTCTGCCTGAGGGACAAAAGCTGCTTTGGTGCAGTCTGGCCTATTCTATGTCATGTTCTGTACTGCAGAATCTTGCAGAGAGGAAGAAGAAATCCCTCTCAGAGAGAGCTCAGGCAGAGGAGGAGATGGAGGAAATTCGCAGGTCGCACCAGCAGGAGCTGGACAAGCTCCGGCAGCTCCTGAAGAAGGCCCGGACCTCGACTGACCAGGCAGCAGCAGAGCAGGTGGGGACTCAGAGGAGCTGCTGCTCCATGTCTGGAGGGCTTGTGGCAGCCTCCAGGTAGGAAATAATGTGAAAATGCTCAGGTAGGGGACAAATGAAAGCATTACCTACTTGAATTCATGGGTTAGTGTCAAACTGAGCAAAGGAGAGGCACCAAATGGAGATTCTCGTGGAGAGAAGAATATGGGACTTGTGAGGAGTGAAAGGTTGTTCAGAAATATGCCAAGAGATGTGAAATGTGAGCCAGATCATGTGGCCAGCCTGGGGCTTTGTGGCTGGAGCTGAAGTGAGAGGTGTGGGTATGAGCTGTGGCTGCACTGTCTGTGGGTGTCCAGCTCCTGTGCAAACACAGATGGGGTGTGTGTTCCTGATGGTGTCTCTTGTGCCATGGCAGCTGTCGGTGATCCAGGCAGAGCTGGAGTCCCAGTGTGAGGCCAAGTGTGAGCGTGCCCTGGCCTCAGCCAGGGAGCAGCACGCACGGCAGTGCCAGGAGCTGTGTGAGCAGAGGGACTCCCTGCAGCACCAGGTGGCCCAGCTGGAAGAGAAGGTAAAGAGCTGTTCTTTATTGCTGAAATGGGCACTAAACACCAGCAGGTGTAACCCAACAGTCTTCTCCCACCTGAGGCTTGACTTTCTGCCTGCCTGCCTGTCATGGAGCTTGATCTCAGCCATCTGCAGGTGCAGGTGTTCTGCTGGGTTGGGTTTATTGTGGAGGAGGGAGAGCCAAGGTGCTGATAGTGCTGAACTGCAGCAACAGCTACAACTTCCACTTAGCTGCACTGTCCTGAGTGGCTGTTGGTGAGCAGAGGCTGTTTGGAGTGGGTGACACTGCCAGGGGCTGTACCTGCTCTGCTTCTTGTGTTTCAGCTCACGGCTCTCAAACACTCAAAAAAAACAGAGGAGCAAAAGTTGTCTGAGGCTCAGCAGCGTTTTGAGGAGCTGGAGCCTATCCAAGAGAAGGTAAAGGAATAACACAGCAGCTGGATGGGAACTGGAATGCAGGGAAAACCAGCCTCGGGCTAGTCCAGAATAACAAGGATGAGAGGTCCAGAATATGGTAGGCAAGGGATCATTTCATGTGGTTTCCAGCAAAGCAGAACAAACCCAGCCTTCATCTCACTGAGATCTCAGTGGTGCTGCACCCACCTATTCTTGGTGGCACTTGAGGAGCTGATGACACAATTGTGACTCTCCAAGGCTGGCTTGGGTGTCCTTATTTTGGTGCTGTTGCTTTCAGCCAAGTCTTTTGTGACGTGTTTAAGACTCCACTCGGAGTTAGTGCCTCACTAAAACCCTTGCCAGGTCACCCTGGAGGTGGCTGTGGTGTGAGGAGCAGCTCTGAGGGTGGCTTTCCCTTGGCAGTACTCAGCCCTGCAGGCAGAGGTGGGGGTGCTGAGGGCTCGCTATGAGGAGCAGATCCGAGAGCTGCAGAAGGATCAGGATGGATCTTCCCCTGCAGACTACACTGAGCAAGTGAGTTGGACTCTCCAGTACTTCTCCTTCCTCAGCCAATGGATTTACCTTGAATTATTTCTCTTTGAACTGACATAAGAAGGAAAAAGATAATTTTCTCCACAGAGCACTGTGTTTGTAGTAACAGTTCACAGAGGAAGAAAGGGTGGGATTTTATCCTGGAGTCATGGTCACACAGAATGGTTTGGGTTGGAAGAGACCTTAATGCTCATCAATTCCATCCCCCTGCCATGGCAGGGACACCTTCCACTGTCCCAGGCTGCTCCCAGCCCTGTCCAGCCTGGCCTTGGGCACTGCCAGGGATCCAGGGGCAGCCACAGCTGCTCTGGGCACCCTGTGCCAGGGCTGCCCACCCTCCCAGGGAACAATTCCCAATTTCCAACATCCCATCCATCCCTGTCCTCGGCAGTGGGAGCCATTCCCTGTGTCCTGTCATTCCTTGTAAACAGCCTCGCTCCATCTTCCTGCTGCTCACTTTGTTGTCTGACTTTTATTTCTTGTTAAAGCTCTACATTGAGGCTTAAAAACTAAAATAAGTAAGAAGTGCAAGTCTGCCTTGGCTTTGTGCAGCCTGCCTCAGTTTGGGGGGATAAGTTTGGGTCACATAGAGTGGTCCTGAGTTAAGGTGACCTGATGTGGTGAGAATTTCTGTTTTGGAAAGTGGAAAAATCACCTCTGTGTTTGGATTTATTGTTCCTTCCCTTGGAGAAGTGCCTGATGTTGAGTGCAGTGTTTCACATGCTAATGAATTGTATGTGTTTCCTTTCATGCTGTTTTGCAGGTAAAGAAGATCATGAATGGAGTATTTCAGTCTCTTCGGGGTGAATTTGAGCTGGATGAGATGTACAGTGGCAGGACAGTGCTGGGGGTTGTCATGAACACTATCAAGGTATGACAGTGGTGAGAAAAGAGAGGGAGCCTTGGGCTAAAACCTCAAATCTGTACTGTGAGACTGAAATAACTGAAGGAGAATTTGTTGTGGGTGGCAAAGCAGCCTGGTAGGAGGAGGTGGTGCAGGGATCTGTGATGGGTTGTATTTAGGGTGTGTGTTCTCTCCCTTTTCCAGACTGTGACACTGCAGCTGCTCAACAGGCAGCAGGAGAAGCCAGAGCATGCCAGTGAAAATGAGGAATCTGACACAGGAGCAGCGAGACAGGAGGGATCACCTGGAGCAAAGACTGAGCACAGAGAGCCCCTGCAGCACAGCCCAGCACAGAGCACTGCACCCCCAGCTGATCCTGGGGAAGAAACCAGAGGCTGCCTGCAGCCTGAGCAGCAAGGCCAGGCTGCTCCTCACCCTGCTGGGCCCAGAGCTGAGGAGGAGCAGGAGACACAGAGCACAGAAGAAGAGAAGGTTCAGGAGGAGCATCTCCCTCCTGCAGCTGATTGCAGCCTGGATGCTGAGAAGGGGCCTGTGCTTGCAGGACAGCCTGTTCCTGGGCTGGAGCAGAGGCTGGAGGGTGTTCCCATCGGGCAGGCTGACCCAGAACAGGATCCCTCTGCAGTGTCCTTGCAGGCAGCAGCTGCAGAGCCTTTTGTCCCAGGAGCCAAGGCAGGAGAGGTGGATGAGGCAGCGTTGCCAGCACAGCCAGCTGTGGAGCAGAAGGCAGAGGAGGCTGGGGGAGGTTTAGAGCCTCCTCCCTTAAATGGGGAGGAGGGGAGTGGCACAGAGTCATGGGATGGAGCTGGCTCCGAGCAGGAACGTGCTTCAGTGTCCAGCAGAGCAGAGCCAGGCTCAGCTGTCCTGAGAGAAGCTCCAGGATCACAGGGACTGGGCTCCAGCCCCAGGAACACAGATTCCAGGTGAGGGGTGGTGCTGGGGCTGGGACAGCAGCTGGTCCAGGTGTGTCCCTGCTGCAGGACAGGACCGGCTGGGGCTGCAGCCCCTCATGGTGCTGGCACTGGGTGGTACCAGCCAGGAGCTGGCACAGACCAGGCTGCCCAGGAGGGCACATTCCACTGGGAGCAGCCCCAGAGCAGCATTGTGTCTGCTGGAGGCAGTGGAGACCATTCCCAGGGGAGTGTGCAGTTCCTGGTGCCTGCCTGGTCCCAGAATTGCCCTGAACTGCTGAACAGTACCTGCCACAAAGGTTTCCCTTGGCAAAAAAGCTTTGCCATCTCTCAGAACTTGTAAAAGCAAATCCCATCCTCTGAGAGCCAGCTGCTCATTCTTTATCTCTTTGCAGCCTCTTTGAGGATGACAACTTCTTTGAAACAGCATCTCCTAAACCACTGAAGCCTCAAGTTCCCTCTGAAGAGGAGGATGAGGAGGAAGTGGTATGTATTTGGGTGTTTGATCTGATTGAGGCATGTCTGTAACATCCTCCCTGTGGCAGTGGGGGCCTGGCTGAGCTCAGAGCTCCCCATCCATTCCCTGTGTAAATCAGGAGTGTTTGGGGTCAGTGACTGAGCTGGGAGGGGCTGGCTTCACTGAGGGAGTAGTGACAGACTCCTGCTGGCATGAAATCAGTGGGACTTGCCAGGTTAATTGAAGTGTTTTAGTGTTTGCCCCCCCCTCCAAACCCTTTTAGGCTGTAAGCAGCTCCTGGAATCATAAAACCACAGAATCCTTAGGGTTGCAAAAGACCTTTAAGATCATCAGCCATCCATGTAGCATCATTCACCATTGAACCATGTCCTCAAGTACCACATCCATCCACTTTTTGAACACTCCAGGGATGGTGACTCCACGCTGCCCTGAGCAGCCTGTGCCAATGCTTTACATTCCTTTCCATCAAGAAATTTTTCCTGCTGTCTAATCTAAACCTAATTTCAACAGCAAACTTCCACATGAGAAATAAAAACTTGGGTAATGAGGCTTCTTGCTCCCAGTTCCTCAAAGCTGGCAGAGATTTCAGAGCAGTTTGTTCAGTGGTTATGAAATGCCAGGAAGCTGCTGGGGCTGACCAGTTTCCCTCTGGTGTGGCTTGCAGAGCATGAAGGGGCGTCCCCCTCCCGCGCCGCTCTTCGGTGACGACGATGACGATGACCTGGACTGGCTGGGATGAAGATGTGGCTGCTGAGCCCTCTCCTCTGGGCATGGCCTCTTCCCGTGCTCTGAGCCCTTGGTACCTTGGGAATGAGCAGGGACTTCCCAGCTCCTGTCCTGCAGCTGGATGGGGGCTGGCAGCAGGGGGCTCTTCCTGCACTCATGGGTGCTCAGCACTGTCACTCTGAGCTGCCAAACACTCTGGGGTTGGGCTGCGTGCAGGAGCCACCCACTGTCCCCCTCCCCTGAGCCCTGGATTCATTAATCTCAAACTTTTTGCAAATAGGAACTTGGTGAAGAGCTTCAGCAGAGCAAGTCTGGCAGGACCCTGCAGTGGCAACACCCTGTTAAAAAATCGGACTAAAATCTCCTTCCCCAGTGATGAACTCCTCGGAATATTTCTCTTAGTGCCCAGGTGGCTCCCAGGGACCCTGCACCCTCTCCCCACCGTGTCTGAGCCATGTGCCACTGGAGGTTCCCCCAGGAGTCCCAGTCAGGTGTTTCTTGTGAGCCCCTGGCTCTGCACAAGCAGCCTGGGCAGCCCTGGGGGCTGAGGTGGTTCAGGTGGGCACTGACTCAGCTGTGGCTGATGCTGCTGGGCCTTGGAGCTCTGGTAAACCTGAGCAGCTGTGCTGGGTGCAAGGAGCCCAATCCCTGCTGTGTGTTGGTCAGATACTCACAGGCAGCTCAGCTCCTCCTGTGCCCAGAGCTGAGGTGGTTTTGCTGGCCTGTGTTTCCCTGTGGGAGCAGCAGCCCAGCTCTGGGATGTGCTGTGTGTTTGGGAAGTCCTTCCCCACAGCCCAGCCCCTCTCTCGTGCCTTTGGCTCTGCTGCTGTTAAAGTGTCACCATCCCAGCACCAGTTAAATGGTACAGAGGGGTGGGACACAAGGCCCAGGCTGGGCTGCAGTCAGGGGGGTCACCCTGCACTCTGAGGGGACCAGGAGGGGAAAGGAGTGAGGACAGAGCTGGGCAAACAGCCTGGGCTCTCACAGCACTTTTACTCATGGGCACTAACACAACTTCACCCCAGAAGTCTTTAAAACAAATGAACCCCTTTGTAAAATGAAAGGACTTAAACTAATTCTACTAATTCTGTTTAGTTTCTACACCTGCCTTTACAGTCTCTGATTGGAGTTAGATCTGTCCCCCTGGAGGTGATTTCTTGGGAGGAAAACACCCAAAAGGGCACTGGGTGTTGGTGTTGGGGGGTGTGGCTGGTCCCTGTGCCCCACCCTTGCCACAAATTGCCAAATGCAGATGAAACTGGGGCAGAGACCAAAGCCTGTGCCAGCCACCCTAGTGCCATGCAGGGTGACTTGACCTGGGCCTTCCTGGGCATCACTCAGTGCTCAATATGAGGGTGTTTGAAACTGGATTTTTGGGGGTGCTGGTGCTGCTCTGAGTGTCAGCGCCCTGGTGTCCCAGGGGCAATCATTGCTCATACTAACAGCTTCCACTTCTTGTTCCCTGTCACAGATAGACACCCTGAGGGATTTGCATTTCACTTCTTGGAAAATAAAGTGCAATTAAACCTGTATTTCTTGCTTGCAATGGCTTTACTTTAGTCTGGTTTTATCTGTCAGCTGAATACTGACTTTGCTCTGACTTAAATTGGGAGTAATTTGATCTAGAAGCTTTGCTTGTCTAGTGTTGTTGAAGCCCTCTCTTGGAAAGGGAGACTAGGTCCTTTTGTGCTGTGGCTCCTTGGGCTCTCACACTGGCCTGGGCTGGGGTGAGAAGCTGGAGCACAAAGGACTGTAATGGTCATAGAGGGCGCTTCCCTGGTTCCCCTCGGGTTCTAGGGGAGGGGATCCTGGGCACCTGCAGGGGTTTGCAGGGCCCAGGCCCTCCTGAGCTGCTCTGGGGCTGCAGAGAGGTTCAGCCCTGCTGTGCCTGGGAGCCCTGAGCAGGGACTGGGGTGCAAGAGTTGGGACTGGAACATTCCCTTCCCCACCCGGCCTGGCCTCAGGGATCTAAATTAACCCTGTGTGTGCCTGTGTGAGCACTGCCCGGGCCGCAGGGAGGCGAAGGGGGCAGCTCGGGGCTCCCGGGGCAGAGCAGCCCGGGGAGGGAGGGACGTGCCAGGGCCCAGGGGGGCCGATGCTGCCGCAGGGGCTGTGCTGGGCTGAGCTCTGGCCGGAGCGGGGCGAACCGCGGAGAACTTGGCTGGGAAGGAGAGGAGCCCCTGCTCCATCCTGGCCCTGGGCTCAGCCGCTGCCCTGCCTGCCGAGGCTCGTGGACTCAGAACAACTCCGGACGCGGTGCTGGACCCATGGCTGCCTTTAATGTCTGGTGTCCCCGGCTGCTCCCGGGAAGGGGCCCGGAGCTGCCTGGGCACAGCCTCGCCCCGGGGCAGCCCCGCGGGGCCGCTCCCGGCCCGCCCGGGATGTTCCGGGCCCGGCTCCGCCCGGGGCCGCTCGGGACGGAGCGCGGGCACAGCCCGGCCCCGGGCGGGGACGGCGCTGCACTGAGTTCATTTTTAAAGAGTCTGACGGCCGCGGGCTCTCGTGCGGGGCAGCCGAGCGTCCTGCGGGCCCCAGGGCTGGATCCACGCGGGCGCTGAGCCGTGGCCCAGCCCAGCCCACCGAGCTGCCCACGGCCCGGGGAGTCCCTGACCCATCACCGGCTCCATCCACCGGGCCGGAATGGGATGGGAGCCCGGCTCCGCCGTGCGGACCTACTTGAGGAAGACGAGCAGGAAGAAGGTGGAGACGATGAGCACGAGGATGGCGGCGGCGAAGCCCAGGCGCAGGTTCTCCATGGAGGCCAGCGGGGGCTGCGTGTCCAGCAGCAGCCCCCGGCCCAGCAGCCCCAGCACGAAGGCGTGGGAGGCCTCGGAGCCGCGGCGGGGGCCGCAGGGGGACACCGAGCTGCTCACGGCGAACACGGGGGCGTGGGACGAGCACAGCGCGGCCACGGAGCGCGACGAGCCCCGGCCGGGGTCCGGGGGGGCAGCGCTGCCGTGCTCCGGCGGCCGCTCCCCCGGCGGGGACCCCGGGTCCGCCGTCAGCGGGGCCGGCTCGGGCAGCAGCGTCACCGTCCTGCAGAAGGGGCAGCTGACGAAGGGCACGGCGGCGGCGCGGCACACGAGCCTGCGGAGGCAGCGCCGGCACAGCGAGTGGCGGCAGGGCAGCTGCTGCGGGCCGCCCCCGGCACCCCAGTACGCCTCGTAGCAGATGCCGCACTCCGCGCCCGGCTCGGGCCCCGCTGCCATCGCGCTCCGCGGGCACGGCCCGGCCCCGCCGCTTTTGAAGGCGGGGGGCGGCGATGGCCGAGCCCGGGGAGGGCTGAGGGGGCCGGGGCGGCCGCCCCCCCTGAACTTCAGCCCGGCCCCAGGGCGCTCGGCGGGCGCTGGAGCGGCACACGGAACGCTCCACCTCCACCGCGGAGCTGCTGCCCCTAAAACACCTGCTGCTCTTTCTCTTTCCCCTTTCCAAACCCATCATAGGCGTAACGCTTCCCAGGCACGGCTTCTATCGCTGTTAGTGAACCCTAGCACCAGCTGAGCACCGGGCACAGAGCCCCGTCGCGCACCCATGTCCCACCAGCCCTGGCTCTGTTTGCCACCCGGTGCAGGAGGTGGCCCTGACCACCGGCACCGGCACCTCTCGGTGCCAGCGATGGACGGGGGCTGCAGCCTCCGACTGCCCGGCACTGCTGGGGCCGTAGGGTGCTTTTTTTATAATATTATTTTACTTTCCCCCGCAATTTCAGAATGTGCCCAGAGTCCCGGGTGATGCTCCAGCTGTTTTGTCTGACCCGTGGCTGAGCGGGTTTGTCGCTGCAGCTCGTGGGGCCGTGCTGGCCCTGGCGATGAAGGGCAGCCCGGCACTGCCGGCGCTCCGGGAAGCGCTGGCCCCTCTTTACGGGCATTGTCCCCGAGCGGACCTTGCCCTGAGCTCCTGTCACCCATCACCGCCCCGGCACGGCCCGGCGGTGGGCACGGAGGGGGAGGTGGGATGGGGGCAGAGGGGGCGGAGGGGGTGTTGCAGCATCGCTGCTGCCGGCCGGGTGTCGGGGCAGCCCTCGGGACTCTCCTCCCTCTCCGGCCGGACCGTGGGGTCCCCGTGGGGTCCCTGACTGCCCCGGAGGAGGGGCACAGGGGGAGCTCCTTGGGGAGCTGGATCCTCTCTCCCTGCTCCTCGCCGTCCCTCAGGCCAGGGCTTGTGACTCCCCGACCTCAGGGAATACCGAGGGAGGGTGAACAGGGAGGAGTGAGGGTGCTCCAGGACCCTTCCTGCCCTCCGCCTCCGCAGGGTTCCCCTCCTCTATTCCCAGCACCTGCTGCTCCTGGTGCAGCCCCTTGCCCCTCCCCAGACAGGACCTGCCTGCTCTGATGGGCAGCAGCAGCAAAACATGAAGACAGAGGCTGGAAAAACATCCCCAGGGTGTTCCCAAGGTGCTGGCTCTGGTGCTGTGGCACGTCCCCAGGACACTGGTGGCACTGGGCACACACGTGTCCCACAGGGATGTTCTGCATGGGGCAGCTCATGTGAGGCAACCCAAGCGCAGGGTCCAAGGTCTCCCCTGCCTTGACATCCCTGGGGTAGCTCAACAATGAGCAACACCCTGGGAGAAGGGCCAGAGCCTCAAATTCCTCTGTCTGACAGGAATGTCTGTCTGACAGGAAGGTGACACTGGGACAGCCGGGCACGCGGTGGCCCTGTCCCTGCTCCACACCCAGCTCTCAGCCATGGCCCTGCAGAAGGAAAGAGGCAGAAACACCCCCAGCAGAAACCAGCTGCAGTTTAATGGCTGCTCCTGGGGAAGGCTGTGGTGGACTGGGCTCGAAGCAGCATTTTTATATTTCAGGGTCAAGAGCCGAGGCACAGACAGGAATTGTTACTAACCAGTGACAATGGAGCAGTCCCCACAGCCCAGTGCAGGCACACCGTGGTCCTGAGCTGGGCACAGCCCCAGCCCTGCCTCAGTGCTGTCCAGTGGCAGCAGCACTTTCTGCTCCCTACCTGATTTGTGGATGGGGACCCCACTGGGCTCCTCTGGCCAGGGCTGGTCCCTCCAGTCCTGGCAGCATTGCTCTTTCCCCTCCCACATGAGCAGGAAGTGGGGGCTGGGGAGCTCCTGGCTCTGCCTTGCCTGAGGCTGCAGAGCCAGACACGCTCCTGTGGGGCTCCAGAGCAGAAGCCCCAGACCTTTGGCATGACAGATGTGCAAGGCAGTGTCAGTACACGAAGAACAGCACGTCCTGCCCGAATGCTCCCATGGGAAATTCCCTCACAACCGAGCAGCACTGCTGGAAGCACTCCCCGTGTCCCTGTGAGCCCCAGAGGCCTTTCTGACAGCAAACACCTCAGCCAGACAGGACACCACAGCTGCGCCCAGTCTGTCACCCAGGCATGGGGACGCTGGGTGGGCAGGCAGCAGGAGGGGATTCATTGAAGGAGCCCCAGCTGGGGGCTGAGAAGCCCCCGGGGAGCTGCAGGATGCTGAGGCTCCGGGGTGTGGGGAGGGCAGTGCTGGTCGTGCTGCCGAGGGGCTGTTCACAGGGGCATGAGCAGCAATGGAACAGCCCGGGAGTGGGGCCGCGCCTCCCGGGCCGGCCTAGGCGCTGTGGAAGATGCGGATGCGCTGGGCGATGTCCTGGCGGCACAGGGGACACGAGTGCAGCCGCTCGCAGCAGCCCTGGCAGCAGCAGACGTGGCCACAGGGCAGGAAAATCATCTGGGGCTGGGGGAGAGACAGAGGGGACACGGAGAGTGCTGCTGTCCCTGAACACTGCTCCAGCACGGGGGGAGCCGAGGATCACCCACGGGGGTCTCAGCGTGGGGGGCAGAGCCCCACACCCCAATCTCCATCTCCCCTGGGTGTGCGGGGCCTGGGCTGTGCCGAGCAGGACACGATGGGACACGGGGATGGGACACGGGGCAGGACACGGGGGGGCCGGGCTGAGCAGCCCCGTGAGTGCTTCCCACGGCTGGTGGGTGCAGCTCAGCAAGGTCCGGCCCAAGCCCTGTCCGTCCCTGCCCTGCTCTTCTCTCCCTCCATCCCTGCTGTGATGCCCAGCCCAGCTGTGCCCGGGAGCTGGTGGGATGAGCACCCGGGCACTGCCATGGCCGGGCTGGGCACACAGAGCTGGGGCTGTGCTGGATCCCGCCCTCCCTCCGCCCGCTGCTCCAGCCCCGGGCTGTGCCGGCTCTCACCTCCTGCTCCATGCACACAACGCACTCCGACTTCTTCTCGTCCCACGGTGGGGCCGTGGGGACCGTGGGGCCTGGGGGCTCCTCCAGGGGAGCGCTGGGCTCTGGGGCCGCAGGGACCCCGGTGTCCTCTGCCCTCCGCAGCTCTGCAACCACAGCCAGCTGTGAGTCCCCTGAGCGCTGCCCATTGCCCACCGCAGCTCTGCCTCCCCTCCTCACACACCCACAGGAGGTGTCTGACCCACAGAGCTCCCTGCTCCAGGCTCAGGGACCTGCTGAGAGTGTAAAATGTGGCAGGAAAGAACTGAGGGTACCTGGGATGGTCGTGGCCACAGCCAGGATCTCCTGAGCCCGCCTGAGGATGGCACGCTGCAGACCAGCCTCTGTCACACCGAGCTGCAGGGCAAGAGAAGGGTGTTGGCCCCAGAGGCACAGCAGGCTGATGCCCCCAGGGGAACAGTGAAAACTCCTGGGCATTGCTGGCAAGATGTGTCCATGCCAAGGAAAGCCCCTCTGCCAGGCACGAGGAATTCCCCGGTGCTATTTCTACTACAGAGAGGCATCTGAGGATGTCGGAAGATGGAGCCAGGCTGTGGCTCACCCTGCAGGTCTTTGGAAAAGCCACTGCCCACAGGGACAGGCAGAGCAGCCCAGGCACTGTCCTTGTGGGGAGGTGACACAGCCAGACCCGCCAGGCACAGCTGGATTCTGAGCAAGGACGGGGACAATCCCTGCTGCTGCTGCCCCACACTGTGGCTCTGCTGCCTCGTACCTTCTCCAGGTCACTGGTGCTCATGGTGCCGAGCGTTTCCAGGGATATTCGGTGGTGAGCGAAGATGGGCACGTACTGCTCAGCAGAGAGCTCCAGCAGCAGGGTCACCAGCTGCTGCTCCAAACCCTTCTCCTGCAAAACACGGAATGAGCTCGCAGACTGTGCCCCTGAGGTCAGGCAGCAGCAGGGCTGGGGCTGTGCTCATCCCATGCCTGCCCTGCTCCAGCTGTGCTGCATCCCAAACACACCAAAGCCTGGAAGCCCAACACCTGGAGCAGCTCTGGCCCCAGGTGTTTTATGGGCATAGTTCAAAATGTTGAGGTCTGGGAATCATTGAATATCCCGAGCTGGATGGGTCCCACCAGGATCACCCAGCCCAGCCCCTGTCCCTGCCCAGACCCCCAAAATCCCACCCTGGGCATCCCTGGCAGCGCTGGCCAAAGGCTCCTGGAGCTCTGGCAGCCTCAGGGCCGTGCCCATTCCCTGGGCAGCCTGGGCAGTGCCAGCACCTCTGGGGGAAGAACCTTTCCTGCTCTCCAGCCTGAGCTGCCCTGGCCCAGCTCCAGCCGTTCCCTGGCTCCTGTCCCTGTCCCAGGGCAGAGCTGGAGCTGCCCCTTGGAAGGAGCTGCAGCCCCAGTGAGCTCCCCTCACACATGAAACAATGCCTTTGGCAATCCATGTCTGCAGCAGCCCCTGCTTTGCCAGCTCAAGCCAATCTGCAGCACAGGCAGAGCTCAGATCCATCTCCTTGTGTCCACCCTTTATGCCCAGCATGAAGTCCTGGCTCACACCATCAGGGGCAGGAATGGGCAGGAGTTGCTGCACTCAGTCATGTTTGAAGGGGAATTTGGGGAGCCAAGCAGAGTCCTTTGGGTGCTCAGCTAGAACAAGAAGCCCTGCCTGGAAGGTTCTTGAGTTTTCTGTTCCTGACCAGCAGTCTGGGGCTGGGACAGCAGCTCCTGCTGGGAACAGCTGAGGTGTTGGCTCCAGAGGGACCTGGGCAGCTCCATCCCCTCCACAGGCAGGAATGAGGGAGCTCAGAGCACCATGGGCAGCACTGGATTTGTGTGAGGGGCCTGTGACCTGCTCCCAGCCTTAGCTCAGGGGGCTGTCCTCGCTCCCCCCAGAGCAAAGCAGAGCACAGTGGGAGCAGGAACAGCAGCAGCACCTGGAGTTTCAGGGAGAGGGGCTTCTGGTTCAGCAGGCGCTGGTACTGGATCAGCCAGTAGTTCTCCTGCTTGGTTTCACTCTTTGCCTCCATTTCCAGCTGAAAAACAAACTCATTCATTCAGCAGCCCAAGGGAACACAGCCAGGGGGTTTCAGGGATGGGTGTGCAGGAAGGAACCCCCAGCCTGGGCAGAGCAGGGCCCAGCCAGAGCACTGTGATGGGGGTCAAACAGGATTTCTGGCTCCTGCAGGCTGGGCCCACTTTGACCCCACTCACACCCAGTCCAGGGCTGTGCATCTCCCTGCTCCCTTTGCCACAGGTCCTGTGGCCTGGTCTCCTGAGGCTCAGGAGGGTCTGCAGATCTTCAGGATTGCAAGACCACAACTCCCATCCCTTGTGCCCATCCTGCTGACCACTCCCTTCCCAGCAGGGTCACTGGGGGAGATGATGGTGCCCATGCTGCACCAGGGAGTGCTGCTGTGCCCCCCAGGTTCTCGTTACATCTTTCTGGGGCTAAATTGGCTCCTGGATCTGGACACAGCCCTGCTCTGCTCCCTTCAGTCCCACACTGAGCCATGGACTCTCCCTGCAGCCAACCCAAATGCTTCCTCATCCGAAGCACTTCATGAGGGGCTTCATTACCAGGATTTGTTGCAGTTCTTCCTCCCTTTGCTTCTTCTCCTTGAGCAGCTGCTGCAGGAGGCAGCCGAGCGCCCGGCGCTGCTCCGTGACCGCCTCCTGCAACAGGAGAGCTCTGGCAGCCACAGCCCCACACTGCTGCCACCCTGTCCCCTTCCCAGCAAAGCCCCTGCCAGACCTACACCAGTCCCCGTGGCTGTGCCACCCCTGTGCCCCAAGCTCAGATCCTCTCCTAGCAGCTGGCAGGGCAGAACCAGCTGAACCTGCTCCCTCAGCCTGCACTGCCACTCTGAGCAGCCCCAGCCCACCCTGCCTGCAGCAGCTCCTCCTCACTCCATCAGAAGTTCAGGCAAAAGTATTCATGGTACCCTCCTTAGAATCATGGAATCTTAGACTGGTTTGGGTTGGAAGGGACCTTAAAGCCCATCTGGTTCCACCCCCTGCCATGGGCAGGGACACCTTCTACTGTCCCAGGTTGCTCCAAGCCCATCCAACTGAGAAAAGACCACCTGAAAGTAGGTCTGGAATCCTGCAGGTAAACAGGACAGATGAGGTCCCCATGCCTTTGGGATGCTTCCTTTCCCTGGGGTCTCACCCCAAGCACACCAGGCCAAGGCCAGGCATCCCTGCAGCCACTCCTTGGCAGTGGAGGGTTAAGTGGCTCAGGAATGTCCCATCATGTGGCATCTCTGCAGCTTCAGTCCCAGCTCATCCATATCTGAGCAGAGGCCAGTGGCCACCAGCCACAGGGACTTCAGACGCCCATGGACAGAGGGACAAGGATTCTGTTACACCCTGAAGTCTGGGAAACCTTCATTGATCACGGAATCCCAGACTAGTTTGGTTGGAAGGGACCTTAAAACCCATCTTGTTCCACCCCCCTACCATGGGCAGGGACACCTTCCACTGTCCCAGGGGTCTGCAATGCCTGTCCAGCCTGGGATCAGCACCTGGACCCTGCACAGGACAAGGCCCCTGGTTAACAGAGGAACAGCTGCCCCTCCCAGGCCAGCCCCACCTCCAGGTGACCAGAGCTGCCCTGCCCTGACAGAGGCAGGAAGCATCAGCACCTCCTCGGAGGCAGAGGGACAACTGATGACAGGAGGAGCTGGTCCAGCCCTAGCAGGGGCCCTTTGGGGTGCACAGCACCAAGGGCAGGGGGATCCAGACAGATCCAGGTGTCCAGGCCTTGTTCCTTGGCTCCTGGTGCTGAAGCTGCAGCTGGGTACCTGGGCAGAGCCCTGCAGCTCCTGTGCTCACCAGGTCACTCCTGGTCTGCCCTGCATGAACTCTGGGTGGTCCCCACCCTCTGCCCTCCAACAGCACAGAGTGACACAGAGCAGCTGTGTGAGTCCAGGTAGCACAACCCAAACCTCACAGCTGAAGGATCCAGGACAGGGCTGGGAGGCACTGCTGCCTGAAGCCAGCACTTACCACTGCTCTGTGACTGCCCTGGCTGGTTTTGGGCTGACTAAACAGTGACCTGCCACTGATTTTGGGCCGACTAAACAGGTGACCTGACCTGGCACATGGCACACAGAAGAAAACAACTGATGCAAATCATCACAAAACAAAACTTAAAGCCAAGCTGCTGAAGCTAAACCTGGTACTCCTCAATGTGTGACTGCTGATGATACCAAAACCAAAACACAACACAATGTAAGAGGACATGCAATGCACAGCAGGCAGGTGTTTCTGGGACAGCCAACAACTGGATTGCAAAATCCTTCCCCACCCAGCACACCTGGAACTGCCCATCCCTATTAGGGCTCCTCTGTCTCTCTGCTGAGAAGGTCTGGGGATGTTTAGGAGCAGCAGACATTTCCCACATTCCCAGGACACAGAGAGGTTGGTGTGTCCTGTGCAGAAGGAACTTCTGACTGAGCATAAAACCATCTGGAAACTGCCAGGAGCAAGGGAAGCAAGTGGAGCAATCCCAGAGCAGGGAGGGTGGGGGCAGCCCCAGAGCCCCACGTACCTGCAGCATCTCTGTGTCCAGTTCTTGCCTCTTTAATTCCAGCTGTGTCAGCTGCAATAACTCTGTTTCTATTAATTTAATCTAAACAGAAAATGAAACATTTTTTACTGACATTTAAAATTACTTTAATTTACGCTCTTTTAAAATGAGGTCTGATTGGCAAGGGCAGCACTGCAGAGCACCCAGAGGTTGGGGGGGAACTGCTTGTGCCCTTTGGTGATGTGTGTGCTGAGGGTCCCTCTTCTTTTACCTGAGGAGCTGTGTCCCCCAACTCCACCTGTCTCTCTACTCTGAGCACCTTCTGCTCAAGTCTGGAACCTCACTCTGCAATCAGTTTGTGCACCCAAACCTTTTGCAGCCACTCTGGAATGCAGAGCCAAGGTCCCCCCAGCAGCATGGCTCAAACCTCAGACTCCTGGGACAGTGCCCTGGTTTCCAGGTGCTCCAGCAATCCCAGAACAACACCTGCTCTTTCAGATTGTGCAACTGAGACACAGAGAGGTGAAATGAGTTGCCCAAGGTCCCACAGCAAAGCCAAGATGAGACCCCAGCTCAACCCTCTGCCATGCCACCAACTGTCCCCAGGCCACACTGCTCCTGCTGACCCCAGGGCTCTGCCCCTGCAGCACAGGGTGGGAGGGGTCCCAAGGGTGAAAGGTCCAGCCTTGGCCTCAAGGAACAAATTCCCTTTGTTCACAGAGCAAGAGGGAGCAAAATGCAGGCCCCTTATGGTGAAGTCAGGCAATGATGGGGAGCTGCCACGCAGGTCACAGGCTTCCAGCAGATTGGTCGCTGGGCACTCAAAATATCCAAGTTCTCAAGTTTATCCATCAAATCCTGAACTGTGATTTTTCTTCTGTGTCAGATCAGGAGAGGGAAGATTCTGGAGCACTGTGCCAGAAACCAGCAACCCTCCTTCCTGAATCCACCACTGCTGCCTTCCCACCTTCCTTCATCATCCCCTGTCACTTTGCCATCATCCCCTGCCACTTTTCCATCATCCTACATCATCCCCTGCCACTTTCTCCACCAGCTCTTCCCCCACAACTACGTCACTGCACCTTCTGCGGGATGGAGCTCAGAAAGGCAGGCTGAGAATGGGAAAGAAAAGGTGAACTTATGGCTCAAGGTGCAGCCTAATGTGCTGGATGGAGATGCAGTGGGCTCATGTGGAAGCAGCAGCCCTGCCAAGTACACAGCCTGAAGGAAATCAGAGGTGCAACTGCAGATCACCCCCGGAGCCAGTGCAGGTCTGTCCTCCAGTGCTGAGGTGACTGAAGGAGTGGCAATGCCACCACCTCCAGGAATCAAAAACTTGCTTTGACACTGCCTCCCTCAGAGCTGGGAGACTGGAGTGTAACCAACACTTCCAACTCTCTTTTCCAGAGCTCTCAGCAGCACCAGAGCTCTCCATGTCCTCAGCCCCTGCTCTGTGCTCACAGCACTTTGTTCTTCCTCCCAGGGTCTCATCAAACAGCAGGATGAGCTGAGGAGCCGGTTGCTCTTTCCTCTGTTGCTGACTCACCTGGTTCCTGATCTGCCTGTGCATAAGATCCTTCTTCACCTGGAGAGCTTCAAAGGCAGTTTTCTGCATCTCAATCTGAGGGACAGACAAAATCCTGCTTAGTGAAGTGGTTGGTACAGTTGCTGAAGGGCTCAGAGGCTGCTGCTTTGCAGGGACTCAAGCACCCTGAGTGGTGCTTGCTATGAGCAACAATGTCCTGAAACACAGCTGAGAGCCCAACAGGTAAAGCCCACCCTGGAGACACATAGAGAAATATTAATGTTATTCAAACATTCATCTGGAATGCTCTGTGTGACCCCACCTCTCCTTTTCAGCAGCACTGAGTAGCCAGGCTGTGCTGCAGGGCACAGCTGCCCAGCGCTTCTGAGAACAAACTTTGAAAATGCTTCTCCCAAGTCCCCCAGGAAACCTGGCAAAAGACAGGACCTCTGTCTCGAAATCCCCTCTTAATCATTGTGTCAGTTTTGCTTCCCATGGTCTGTGCTTCAGTCTTTTCTGAAAATTTGCTGCCTAGATAAAATAATTTTTTCAACCACCCAAGTTAGTTTGTCAGAATAGCAGGTATTTTCAAAGTTTAGCAAGTAGTGTTAAATAAAATCACTTCTGCATGCAGCCCAGGCCAGCCACTGCTGCTGCTGTGACCTGCTCTGGATCCTGCTCTCCCTCAATCCCCCATAACCAGTTTGCTCCTTTGCCTACCTGCTGCAAGATCTGACTGACAGCTTTGTTCTGATCCAGCTGCTGCCAAGCCAGGATTTGCTGGAACTTCTGATCCATCTCAGCTAGGCTGCAAAGAGATGGATGTGCCATGGAGTTACTGCTGGGTCTGGGACTCAGAGGAAAAGCAGGCAATGGGGAATGCAGGAGGAGGAATTTCTTAGTGAATGGGGGAAGAGTAGTGGCACTGTACAGCTGAAGGCCACAAATTTAACACCTCCTTCCCTAAACCCAAAACAAACCTGCACCACAGGCTCCTGTGGCCCTGTTGAGCAGGTCACAGGTTCACAAGGCTGTTTTTGGTCAGTGACAGATGTTGCGAGATTAAAATTTCTCATCTTGTAAACAGTGAGCCAGGATGCCCTCGGTTTGTGCAGCAACACTTGTGTGCTACTTATGCACACACAGCACCCTTGAGGCAGCCTGGGAGGTGAAGGGAGCAGCTCTGGGCTACATTCTAGCACTGAAGTGCCTCAAAATACAGGAATACTACTGGTCTAACTTCATCCTTCATATCAGCAGAATGTATAAGGCAAAGTAAATGGTACAAAAAAGTGACAGTTCCCCCAAAGTGTGATTAATATGCAAATTGTAGATGTTAGAAGGTGGTTCATTTAAGGGACTCTGACAGTTTAATTTGCACTATACTGTGCTGTTACAGCTGCATTCCACCAGCTCCAGGGGTTCCTGGTGTACGTATGGGAATTGCACTGCTGAAAGAAAGGGATTTCACACCAGGACCACCAGCCCCAGACACCCTCTGTACCTGGAGCAGGCCTGGCTGACGAGGTCCTCCCGACGAGACTCAGAGGTCATTTGGAGGAGCTTGTTCTTGTAGGTCTCAGCCAGCATCTGCTGCATGGCAGCTGGGGACAGAGGGGACAGAGGGGCTGTCAGTGCCTGCCTGGCCTGGGTGTGCAGAACAGGACTCACCCACCACTGCTGCTGCAGTCACTGCAACCAACAGTGGCTCCTCTCTCATTGCTCTTGCTCTTTCCATTTCACTGATTCCAGAGCACACCCACCCACCTGAGCACTGTGGCTCCTTATTGGGAAAAGAGCTGAGCAAACTCCACTCTGCCTGTGGCTAAACCTCTTCAGTACTAAGAGAAGTCCAGTCCCTGCTTACCAACCCTGAGACCACAGAATCTACTGGGAAATAGGAAGGGACCCACAGAGATCACCCAGCCCAGCCCTGTCCCTGCCCAGACCCCCCAAAATCCCACCCTGGGCATCCCTGGCAGTGCTGGCCAAAGGCTCCTGGAGCTCTGGCAGCCTCGGGGCCGTGCCCATTCCCTGGGCAGTGCCAGCACCTCTGGGGGAAGAACCTTTCCTGCTCTCCAGCCTGAGCTGCCCTGGCCCAGCTCCAGCCACTCCCTGGCTCCTGTCCCTGTCCCAGAGCAGAGAGGAACTTGGGGTCTGCCAGTCTTGGGGGAACTTGAAGCTGTTTCCTGTTCTGTTGTCCCTTGTTCCCTGGGAGCAGAGCCTGACCCCCATTTGGATACACCCTTGTTTCAGGGAATTGTAGAGAGTGAGGAAGCCCCCAGAGCCTCTTCTTCTCTAGGCTGAGCCCCTTCAGCTGCTCCTAGTGCTCCAAACCCTTCACCTCGTCTCCCCAGAGACCTGTCTGGACTTACAGGCCACTTCTCTCCTGCGCAGCTGCTCCGTCTCCTCCTGGGTTATTGCCATCAGCTGTTCCATCCTGATTCTGCCAACAAACAATTCAGCCACTCCTTCAAAAGATCCCTTTTTCACTACCCACCCAGCTCAGAGTCTCAAGGCTGGGCAGGTTCACCCTGCTCAGGAAAGCTGGGCTTATCAGAGACACCAAAGCTCTGTGGTTTTTTTTGGTGAAGAATCTCTAAGTTTTATCGGAGACAACATTTGCTCAAAACCACAGGGACAGAGGCTTTAGACAGGGAAATTGATTTTTCTGAGACACAGAACATCAACACAACATGCACATGCTGTCCCCAAACAGTGCCAGACCCTTCCCTGGCTTTCCTTTTTGCTGAGGCTGGATGAGCCTTGCACAGCTGGCCCAAGTGAGCAGTGCCACTGCAGGCAGCAGCCTGGCCTCCCTCCTCACCACCCCTGTCCTTGTTGCAGCACATTCTCCCCACCATTTACCAGCTCAGGAGCTGCTGTGGCTGGGAACAGTGTGACAAACAACTGGATGCTGTTCAACCAGTTTACTGGGCCACAGCACAGCTGGCTGATGGGAGGGAGCAGCTCACAGACAGGGCAGAGCTGGGGACAGTGACTTTTGGTGGCAGAGTTAGCTCAGAGTGTTGGCTTAATTGCAGATTTGCTTTTCACATACTCCTCCTGGCCTGAATATGTTGCTGGAACATCTCCATAACTGCCTTGCTTGCCAGCAGATGGAAGATCTCTGTTGGTCCTTGACTTTGGAATACAGAGTTTTGTTCCCAAACTCATTGTTTAGGACTATTCAAAGATGAAAAAGAGGTAAAATCACCCTGTCACTGGGTGTGCCAGACTGGGTAGGACCAGGCACACTGAGTCCAGTGTCTTGCTTCCAACAGTGACCAGAGCCGGGTGCAGGTATGAGATGAACCTCACCTGGCTTAGGGTGGATTCAGACTGGTGACTCTGAAAGGGAGCTCCCAGTCCTCTTCCCAGCTTCTGACCCCTTTTCCAGACAAGTTTATTTCAGAGACTCACCTCTCATTCTCCAAGGACTTCAAAATGTCTGAACTTCGTTTTTGCCTAAAAAAAAAAAAGATATACCAAAAGGCTTTCATCAAGCTGAGTAGAATATCCTGGTCCCCCAGAGGGCAGAATCACAGAGTCACAGAATATCCTGACTTGGAAGGGTCCCAAAAGGATCATCCAGCTCCAAGCCCTGCACAGGACAACCCCAAAAATTCCCCCATGTGCCTGAGAGAAAACAAGTTTGCTGTCAGGCACAGCAGAGCAGCTTTCAGCAGGCTGGGCATCTCCCATCAGCACCTGCTCACATGGAGACCCAGCATACACAGACAGGGGCACCTTAAGACCTCAAATTTACACCTTCCATGAGGAATTTGAATTTCTTCCATAGCACTGCAAAATCCCAACATTACACAGCTGTAACGGTTTTTTAAATATGCAAATTTCATGTATTTTAAATGCATTTTTGGCAGTCCAGGAGCTAAGTTCCTCCAGACATCGATCCTGACCAGGTCCAAAACACTCAGGGGTGAAATGAACTGCTCAAAACAACATGACATAAAAAAAAAAGAATCAGAAAAAGACCCCCTGGACCTCACCTCTGGTTATCCTCCAGTAGCTTCTGGATCCGGCTGGCAATGCCCTGCTCTGTGTCCTTCAGCTGCTGCAGCAGCTTCAGCCTCTCCTCCTCCAAACAGCGCTGGTGCTTCGACAGACCCTGCTCCAGCCTCTGCTGCTCCTGCCCAGAGCAGAGGAAACCAGGAGAAGGTGGTGGGTTTGGGGAAGGCAGTGAGTGCCCTGGAAGGGCCCTGCCCAGCACACCCACCTCCCTCACTGTCTGCAGGATCTCATCCTTGTGGCTGCCGAGCTGCTGCACCAGCAGGGCCTGTTCTCGCTGGCCCATGTTCAGGCGTCGCTCAAATTCCAGCTTCTCCTGCGTTTTTCTTTCCTGAGAGGAACCAGAAGAAAGATGAATGGCAGGAATCTCCTTCCCCAGCAAAAACATATTCTGGAAAAAGGTAAAGCAAGGGACAGGAGTCCCTTACAGAGAAGAAGGGAAGCTAAATGGCAAACAGGAGGCTTGTCTCAGGGAGGGGAATGTTCTCTCCTTAGGAACCCAAAACCTGGGAAGGAGAAGCTGCTGCTTCCTTCGTAACAGTCTCCAAAGCCTTTCATGTCATGGAGCTGAATTCCCTGGGCATCTACTGATACCAAACCAGCCAATATAAACACATGGAGGGAAGCCCAAAATGCAGGTTGGGTTCAGCTCCACATGGCACAGGCGTCCCTTGTCTGAAGGAAGCAGCCAGCTCTGAGCAGCTCGAGCAAAAGGCACTGGGGAACTGCAAGGCAGGAGCTGGTGGCTGCTTCAAAGTGAGCCTTGCAGAGGGGAGGAGACAGAGGCCAGGGAAACAAAAAGAGCAAACTTAAAGAGCAGCCAGGTGAGCAGAATGAGAAACAAAATAAAAATATGGAAAACACAAACCAGAAGCAGACCCATGCTGCAGACAAGGCAGTTGCAGGAGTTGATCCTTACCTTCCTCTTCTCATAATCCAAGAATTTGTTCTGAAAAATAAGCAATATCAGCAATTATTCTCAGAAGTACTTTTGTGTAGATATTATTACTCCCCAGTACAACCTCCCCTAACTGAATAAAGACATCACTGAAAGGCACAGGAATATAGGCCCGAAGTCCAGTCACTCAGGGGAAAGGCATTGACTCTGCACTTGCCAAAGAGCACAGGAATTAGCACAATTATTGGCCCAGCCTCCCCTTTCCCAGGTAGGGCTGACATGTCTAGCACTTGGCTGAGAAGCACAAGGTTCTTCTACAGTTTGCTGTCCCTTCAAAAACACACTGCACACTCCATGTCCCTCTGTCACCCGTCCCTTGGCTCCATCACTGCTTTCAAGGATGGAGACAATTCCTTGGGATGTATCTTCCAGGAGTAAGTGTGGTGACACACCAGCCCCAGCTCAGGAAGATGAGCCACCCTTGCACACACTGTGCCTGGCTGCTCCCTCAATCCCAAAAGACACAACTCATGGAGGGGAAGGTGATGAGGGATGATGAGCCAAGTGCTGTGAGATGCTTTGGTGGAGCACAGAGACAAATCCCAAACCCTCTGGTGCAGGGAAGCCTCACCTGCCACTCACTCTCCTCGTCCAGGTACTTCTGCACTGTCCTGTCCACCCCATCCACTGAAGTTCCTCCTCCATCGCTCTCCAGCGTGGGGAGCAGGTACTGTGAGGGAGGGTAGTATGCAATTCCACACTCTGGAAGGCACCAGACACAAAATAAGAACATTTGAGGCTCAAAGACCACCTTGGAACCATGACTGTCAGCTGGCTGGTGTGTGAGAGTGCTTCCAGCTGTGCTCCCTCTGCCCACACACCAAGGAATGCCTGGCAGGGCTCCTCCAGCTGAGGCAGGATGGACAAGGAGCTCTGGGAGCAGGTGGGGCCACTCCATCCCCATCAGGACAACGATCTGCTCAGACAGAAACACATCTTGCACACAGGTGCAGGCTTGGTGACTTCTGCAGGGTTGCAGATGTTACTGCCCAGATCAAAATAAGTTCTGACTTGTCCTGTTTTTTTCAGGGAATATCCCAATGTCTAGCAAGGCACTTTCCCTGCATAAAACCTCCACCAAAATTCCCTGTCTGTATTAAACACAGTGTCTACAAACTCCCAATATATTATCTGTGAGTTTGAGTTTTCCATCTGTTTTCACCATTCCCCAAACAATCTGCAGGGCCCAGATCCTTCCCTAGAGAAAATGAGGGCAGCAGGGACCTTGAGTGACTCCTGAGTCTCTCTCCTTGTCCCAGAGCAGTGACAGCTGGACAATGCCTAATCCTCCCACAAGAGAAAATCAAAATAACCACAGGAGATGCACTGACCTCTTATGGCCACTGAGACAGCCCGACCCAGCCACTCTGATTTTTAACAAACGACTCTACATTCCAGTGTGGCAGGGCTCAGGGAAGGACTCCTGTTGTGCTGTTTGCCAAGTACAGGTGTGCAGGGCATCAGCAACCACCCCAAGCAGAGCCCACACAATGTCTGTTCTTCAGAAATGCCATCTCTGGGCACAGCCCAGGTGCTCCTGGCTTACCCTTGCAGAGGAACTGCTGGATGGCCTCTGTGCCCGCACTGCAGATGTCAGGGGGTGGGTAGGTCATGGCAGAGGCATCCAGGGTCAGCGTCTCCAAAACAGAACACACAGAGCTCCAGGTTATTCTGAGTCCAGCTACAGTTCTCCTTGCAGCTCCCCAAAATCTTACTTAATGTTACCCTAAATCCTAACATAAATATGAAGCTGTATTAAATCCCTGCTGGGTGTCTGGCACCTTTCAGAAGTAACTCCACTATCCCTTATTTGGAAGTTTCTGAGCTGGCCATTCACTGAATATTCCCCTCATGGGGGCACTGGCACTTCATATTTAGGTACCAGAGGTCAGAGCACTCCTCATCTACAGACATTCCCTACTCTACTCTGTGTCAGGAGTTCCCTTCAGCATGGAAGCAGGGGTGATATCAGGACATGGAGAGGAGGAAGCTAATGCTGCATTTTTAGGGAAGGGCATAGCAGGAGGGCCTAGAAAGGAACCATTTTACCAAGCACAGGGGGCAAAGCTGCATAGATGCCTCAACTCAGGCTGTCCTCATAAGGAGTGAAGCAAAATGTTGTGTGTGAGACAGAGAGCATTTATTCACATCTTTGTGCTGGTGTCTGAGCCAACCCTGTTGCCTCACACTGCACCATTTACTACTGACAGGTTTGGCAGCCAGAAGGCAATAAATCCATAAAAATCTTGCTTCTGAATGTGCACTTCAGAGAGCCATAAACACACAAAAGCTGACAAGTTGGAGATCTACCGGGGTGACAGAAGCACGATTTGTGCTCTTAAAGACAGCCCTGGCAGGTAAAATCCAGGGGTTCACTCTCTGGGGATCACTTTTGTCATGATTAAATGCCAAAATGATTAGAATTAAATGACAAAATTATTAGATTAAATGGTAAAAATTATTGGAAAAGACCAGAGCAGAGACAGAAAAACCATTTTGGACAGTGTGAACAGCCCTGTTACAATGCCCTGCAGTGCATTCTGCCCAGACCCCAATCATTCCCCTCATGGGCTGGATTTATTCCCAGCTGAGGGAAGCAGGCTGGGAAGGGCTGCCCCAGGGCTGGTACCTGCAGGGTGCGGGCGTGGGCCAGCAGCCGGGGCAGCTCCTGCAGCTGGTTCCCGCTGACATCCAGAGCCCGCAGGCTCCGCAGGCCGCTCACGCTGCCGGGCAGCTCCCTCAGCTTGTTCCCTGCAGGGACAGAAAGCCAGCTAAAACCATGGAGCCAGAGAATTCACTGAATTCACGGAATCACTGGGTTGGAAGAGACCTTCTAGATCAAGTCCAACTCAGCCCCAACCCCTCACCTAAACCCTGGCACCCAGTGCCAGATCCAGGCTTGTTTTAAACACACCCAGGGATGGTGACTCCACCACCACCCCAGGAAGCCATTTCAGAACTTTATTACCCTTTCTGTAAAATACTTTTTCCTATTATCCAACCTATATTTCCCTTGGTTCAGCTTGAGACTGTGTGCTCTGGTTCTGTCAGTGCTGCCTGGAGAAAGAGACCAACCCCACCTGAGCACAGCCACCTTTCAGGAGCTGTACAGAGTGACAAGGTCACCTGAGTCTCCTTTGCAACCTTCCCAAACAGGAGCAAGCAGGGTTATCTGTTCCAACACCAATCCATAACCACATGTACAGCTCATTTCCATGGGGATGCGGCTGTGCCAGGTCACACAGGGACTCAAAGGATGTCACTGCCCACCAAGGGCAATTTGGGATCCACATCTCCTTCTCAGCTGAGGTCATTGCTGCAGGCTGGATCTGTGTCTTTATCAGGAGAATATTTGTAACATGGGATGTTCCTCCCTTGGCCTAAGTCCCAGGGATGGGAGGAAGGGGACTGAGTGTGAGATTGCACACCCCAGGCTCAGAGCCCAGGTGCTGCAGACAGACAATGACCTGAGCTGCCCTTCCAAGCTCCTCACCCTCCATTGCCTTCCCTGTTTCAGCAACAGCTCCACATAACTAAATCTCCTTTGTCTCCCAGGTTTATGGCACTGCATAGCTGGTGAATGTGCAGGAGTCTGGAAAAGAGGTGTGACCTTTGTGTTTGGGCTGTGCAAGGCTGGTGGGGATACACAGCCTCACAGGAGCCAGCTCTGGGTCTTGGGGAACTCAACTGTAATTTGGTTTATCTGGCTGAGTGCTCTGCTTGCTTTACGGGAGGGCTTGAGGCTGATGCATTTTCTGCTTAGATCATTTCTCTTGCCTTGCCAACTATTTGAATTCAAACCTGCCTTGTGTTCTTCCTCAGCATTCAGAGTGTAAACCATGTGGTGCTTGTCTTGATTGAAAGGAATAATTACTAATGCAGCTCAACATGACCAGATAATAAATGTGCTTTGCCCAGAGCAATCCCGTTCCATACCTTTCACATTGAGGACCTGGAGCTGTGCAAGGTCTCCTATAGATTGTGGAAGGCTTTTTAAAAGATTCTTTTCAAGGTTTAGGACCTAAAGTATTAACAGAAAAGAGATTCAAAATATTCATCCAAGCCTCATGTCTTCTACAAATCTGTGCTGCTGGGACTTTTAAGTCCAGAAGTACAATTGAAATTGGTTGTAGATAACACTTTCAGGGTTAAGAAAAAAATGTATTTTCCACCAGCCCTAGATAAAGAGTATGCCAAGCTACCAGGGGCAGTAAGGATCCCTGCTCACTATCAACATCTGGTGCTGGATCCAGATTCAGGAACTGGGAATTGGAGTGTCCAGGGCAGCCCTCCCCAACTCCAGCTCTCATCTAAAGCTGTCTCCTGAGCAGAGAGACCCTGAGCGTGCCCTTAGACACTGCTCTGGGCTCTCAATGTAACCACCCCAGGGACAACAGCAAAACCTGAATGTTTGGGGAGAGCAAATGCTCAGAGCATCTGCATGGCTGTGGGAGATACTTGGGCTGCACTAAGCTGGAGAACATAACCAAGCCTGGCTTTTCCTGCTCTTCTGCTGCTTTCCTTCTTCTTTTCCATACCCTGTACAGGCACCTGGGGTGCATCTGCAATTTTTTTACCTGAAGAGCTGTCAGCTGACCAATATCAGCAGGAAGTGATGCCAGTTGGTTGTCATGCAGATCCAGAACCTGGAAAAGCAGATGATGTCGCCAAACAAGGTTGGAAGCAAAAGTCATGAATTACCTCACAATGAAAATGACTTTGCTTCCTATGGGACTTTGAAAAGCAGCTCAAGTTTTCAGGGGATGCAGGTAATTAATTCTTGGAGGTCTTTTGGAAATTCAGGCATCAGTAACAATCAAGAGACAAGGGGGAGCAGTGACACTGACGGAGCTGTCCCACAAAACTGGAGGAGCCAACTGGATAAATCATCCCCTTGGAACCAGGCTGGCAGAAGAAATTTCTGCAGGATCAATATGCTGAACTGCTCTTTTGAAGATTAACTGCTCCAACAGCAGTGCAGGGAGAGGGCAGGACTAGGCCTGGAGACCTCCCTCCCTCCATGTGGGCTGCTGAAATTACTCTGCCTCTTGGGGAATCCCCCCTGTCACACCCATCACCAGCTTCCTTCCCATGCCAGTGACCCTCCAGAGCACGGGAGAAATGGATCTACCCCATAACACACCCAGCTCTGCCTGACCACCACCACCAGTGAGGCTGCTGAGGGGGAAACTGTGGGATTCTGCAGGGGATAAATGAGTTGTGGGACTGATGGTGATGTGACACAAACCACACAGTGACTGCTGTCTGTCAGCCTGGGAGCTGAACCCACAAAAGGCAGGTGTCACACCTTGGTTCTGATTCCTGGCAAAGCCAGCCAGCCAGAAGGGATTTACTTGGGCTGGTGTTTTAATGCAGCTTAAATCCAAGGAAAATAGGCTGCAGTTGAACTGTTAAGAATCACAATTACCTTCACAGTTATGAGACTCAGGAGGTTGCAGGACTTCGGAACTAAGGATGTCAGATTATTGGTATGAATAATCAGCACCTGGGGAGGAAAAGCCCCATTGTCACATAAAAACAAGAGACTCCCGAACAAGCACTTTTGTTGAGATTGAACAGGGGAGGCTGTATAAGAACTCAATACCTTATTCAGTATCATATAAAACAATGCAGTAGGAAATAGATTGTCAGAGAAGGTCCAACATTTTATGTGAGATCTAAACCAGAGCCCAGCTCCTCACATGAGAAATACCCTTAGATGTCCCCAGACAGGAACAGCCACCTCTTCTTTCCTGGCAGAAGTTAACTTTAAAAAACACAGCCAGGACTGATCTGACTCAAACTGCTCTCTATGTAGTATCACACAGGTAGGCAAATTCCTGACAAGAAAATTCCTTCTGGACCACCATAAAACAATCATACAGTCATATCAAACATGACAACAACATTTAAGCATATTAATAGAGCTATTTAATAATTTCTGATTACAACATTACCTTTTTTTGCAAGACCTTGCAGGTTGCAAAGACCCCATAAGGAACCTAAAAACAATAAAAAAATAGTCATGTCAGACTTCTCTTTTAAGCAGTTCTACAATGTCCACCTGTAAAGCGTGAACAGCTTGACTGAAAATAAAAGTGATGCTTAAAATCACTGCCCTTTGATTTTGGCCTAGTACTTCCCAGGGAGCTTCCATTTAAACATCTTCCAGTGGCTCTCCATGACACAGCAGTGCCACAGAACAGGCTGAGGCTCAGGCAGGACTTCAAGCTTTGTGTGATTTAATATTCCCTGTGCAGATGAGCCCAGGCAAAGGTTCAGTTTAATCATCACTGAAATGCATCCTGTAGTTTGGCAACCTCACGACCACACTGCAGTGTGCTGAGAAAGGTGAGCACCAGGCAGGACAGAGTGTCCCTGATGTGCCAGGAGAGGGACAGGCAGACCAAGGAGATGCCAGTTCAGCCCCTGCCAGGCACAGCTGGGCACTGTGATCTTCCCTGCTGCACAGAACCAGCAGCAGCCAGACTCCTGGCCATGGTTAATTGTGAAACCAAACTGATGTCTCACTTCATTTATTGAAACAACAATGAAAATGAACAGTAAGGCAGTTTTATGGTCCAAAAGGAGCTGCTGGGCATCCCAGATTAGCTGTGGCCCTGAGTGGAGCTGGCTGGGTGGATCCTCTGTCTGCCACCCTGCACACCCAGGCTGTCCCACACAGCCTGCAAACCCACACAGAGCTGCTGTTGGCTCCTGAGCTTGGAACATCCCAAAGTCTCAGCAGGCAGCTCTGCTCACACTGCACAGCAGGCAGCTCTTCTCTGCAGGATGGTCTCAAATCCCCCCACTTTGCTTGGCAAGGGCATCTTGTATTCAGGATCAATATTGTAGAAGCATGAGACAAGGAATAAAAATTAAAAGTGACATAGAAATGGGATTTTGCCTGAGGCTGGCCTGACTGCCAGCAGGAAAATCTGTGACTGGGTGCCTGGCACTCCGTCACTGCCTGCCCACACACCAGCAGACAGATTGTCATTTAGTTGGTTTAGAAGCCAAGCTGGGAGTGAGACTTCCATCCTTACCCAGCAACTTGGAAGCAGGACTGGGATTTTCACTTACATAGAAAAACAACCATGGGTGGCAGACTGTGTAGCTCTAAGATTAGAAATACTCAGCCTTTGGCAAAGCAACTCTCTCAGGACCAGCAAAATTAAGCCATGAGGTCCCAAACTAGGGTCAAACAAGGTACTGGTGGAGGGTATGAGACCACTCTGCCCTTCTAAAGGATTACCAGGTCAGAAATGGTGTTGAAGCATGAGACACGACAGGAAAACTCCCACCACAAAAACAGAGAAGAAGCCCCCAGCTGAAAGCCAGAGCTCAAGAGATAGAGGAAAAGGTGGACCAGCAACAATTTCTGTCTCAAGGCTCACAGGCATGAGAGTAAATCTGACAGCTGGTACCAAGAAGCAGACAGAGAATCAGAGCTGTGAGTGAAGACTGGAAATTGTAGAGGACATACCTCTGAGAGCTCACATCTGGATATGTCAAGGGTGTCATCAGCACCAGCTTCTTTTGCCTGGAGAGGGAAGAAACACATCCAGAGAATCAGACCATGCAGAAATACAGCACCTCTTGCTGCATCTTGCCCAGAGAGTTTGTGGACTCCCCATCCCTGGAAGTGTCCAAGGCCAGTCTGGATGGGGCTTGGATCAGCCTGGGACAGGGAAAGGTGTCCCTGCCCATGGCAGGGGTGACACTGGATGGGCTTTAAGGTCCCTTCCATCCAAACCAGTCTGGTTCTGTTCCAGAGTATTTTCCATGTTCAAATCAAGTCCATGCAATGCAGCTGCTAAAAGCGATGAACCTGGACAGACACCACTCACCCATGTACCCAAAGCCACATCTAGACACCTCTGGTTCACTTCCAGGGATGGTGACCCCCCACCACTGTCCTGGGCAGTCTGTTGCAATGCCTGACAATGCTTTTCAGGAAAAAAAGTCCCAATATCCACCCTGAGCCTGCCCTGGCCCAGCCTGGGGCCGTTCCCTCTCCTCCTGTCCCTGTTCCTGGAGCAGAGCCCAACACCCCGGGCTGTCCCCTCCTGTCAGGAGTTGTGCAGAGCCACAAGGTTCCCCCTGAGCCTCCTTTTTCATCCCCTGAGCCCCTTTCCAGCTCCCCCAGCCCCTCCTCATCCCTTCCCCAGGAGATTCCCTGTGCCAGAGCATCCTAGTGAAATCCTACTCCAGGGAAACAAACAGCAACATCTAATGAGTTAATCCTCAGAGTGACAGGAAGATCAGAATAATGGGAAGCAAAAGAGAGGCACAAGGTAAGGCAGATGTGATAGAAGTCACAAGTTCCCTGGAAGGAAAAACAAACTGGGAGATCTGTAAGGGCAAAGGGGCATGGAGGAGAAAGGAGAGATGGGATCCCACCTGCAGGCTGGCAGGAGGTGGGGTGAGATGGAGGATGATGCCCCAAGGAACCACACAGAGAAGGATGGAAGGGGATGTGGGGGTGGGAGGGCAAAGGCAGATA